GTGAAACCCTGCTGGTTTGATGGGAATGATGATTATCTTGGTATCTTAGTCATTAAAGCTAGCTTAGTGGCTTAGTAGATGTATTCTTATTTTAAGAACTGTTGTTGCCTTAATATTGAGGTTGCATCATCGTTGCATGCATGTAGGAAGCGAGTTGGTGGAGTTCATGACCGAGAGTGAGCAGGAGTACGAAGAGGTGATTGAAGAGTACGAGGAGGAGGTCCTCGTGCAGGAGGGGGTCCCGGAGCTACCACGGACTGACTGAGCTAACACTGCGCCTGTCCAAGGCAAGCCCCGGTGCATAACCCTTATTTTGAATGATCACTAGATATATATATGTGATGTGCATTTATGTTATAGGCATTTTATACAAACTACATGCATAGATAACCTACCTACGAGTCCTACTAGCATAGGTCGAGTAGCTGCTATGCTTAGTCTATCGGTAGCGTGAGTAACCTGCCGTTACTCACAATAGGTGATTATTATTATCACTCATGACAAAATGGTGAAAGGAAATGGAGACCGGACCGGGATATGGTACGGGTATTGGTGGGTGTAAGAGGTTGTGTCCCGCGGCCAACGGGGCATAGCTTGGTTACACAGTTTTCCCTATCCGTGTCGGTTAAGGACCGGCCGTTGCATTAGATTCTAGTCAGGTCACAGACTTATTATCCTGAGCACATACTTGTTTATGGGAGCAGGGAAGGCTCGTTGCTCTCTTGTCGTGGGTTCCGGCTCTTTCCGGACCGACTGATTGGAGGCGGGGATGGTGGAGGTCTAAGCACCATACTGAGTCCAGGACTCAAGTGTGGGAGCTTGGAGTCCAAGTTTAAACGGAGACCTGGACCCCTTGACAGGAGAGTGGTGGGTTGGTTCTGCTTGTGCCTGGGGTACAAGCGGGGCATGTGTTTCAGGGTACCCAACTGGGCACATTGATCCGCGAATCATCGGGTAATCCGGTACGACTTGTCTACGATCTAGCACCGTAGTAAGAACTGGAAGATGAAAGATGGTGAAATGGATTTGTTTGCTCAACTCTTACTTGAAAGTAGAACATGTGCTTACCTAGAATGGTTAGATAATGAACTAATCATGACTGTTAATAAGAAACATACATAAGGATTCACTACTATTATTGCTTTTCGCAAAAAGAAAACCCAGCAAACCATAAAACTTATCATATCCTTTGGAGTCGGGAAATTATTCCCACTAGTCGGGTGAGTCTTGCGAGTACATTGTAAACTCAGGGTTTATTGACCCTATTGCAGGTGCAGCTTGAAGGGTAGCTGTTGTGTGAAGGATTCTTCTGGTGGGCACAGACGGATCCTTGTATTCTGTCGTTAGATGTTTATTGTAATTCCATTGTTTAAATTCCACACTCTAAACTTGGTACTATAATAATGTATTTCTAAGAACTCTGGTTGTATGAAATGGACTAAGTATTGTAAACTCATTCTCATTATTGGATCCTAGAGGAAAAACATGGATTTTTCGAGTTCTCCCTTGGGGTGTGCTCGACGGAATTCGTCCGATGTAGCGTGCTTTCGGGGTGCTTAGTGTCTGGTGGAAGAAGAGCGCCTCCGAAGGTGTGTTATTTTGACCGGTTCTGCCACATCAAGCAATGGTTTCATCGTTCGCAAGAGATAGGCTTTACCTTTTGTTCTTCTCGGGTCTGTTTTTGGGTCGTGGCAATACCATAATGATAATGTTAAATTGAGACTGAACGAGACTCGATGTTGTGGTAAGTGTTCGTGGGCAGACGGGTTTGCCTGGTCGTGCTTGTTCCGCCTGTGTCGATTGAGGACCATACCGTTGTAAGCCACTGTGTGGTCGAGACTTTGTAGTACTGGCCACATACTCTGGTAAGCTTAATACCTTGGCTATTCCACTATGTGAAACGACAACCACGCACTGGGAGTGGAGAGATAGTGAGAGTAGCGTGTACACATCCTGTGAATTCGCTAGGAGCGGCGCAGGGAGGTGGAGTATTGTGCTCTCAAGTAGCTACGGACTGGTTCACGTTTTGGAGGATCCAAGTGAGGGTTGATATGTGTAGGTCCGGGACCTGCATATGTCGTGTGGTAAGGAAACCCTAGCTGGGCCTAATCGATTCGAATCGTCATGCTCCTCAGTTATGGAGACTCGATCCTCTGACCTACATCGTAGTTAATCAAGGGAAACATGGTTACTTATGGATATGGGATGAAATGAGATGAGATGTTTAATGAAGTGATTGAGCTAGATTAGGTGCAAATTGGATTCTACTGGTAAACTTAATACGAAGCTAAAACACTGAAAGTAAGGATCCACTTTAGTAAGCTTTTCTACAAAGGTTATTCTTGCTTCTAACTTTCCTTTAAACCTTCATACCCTTGAAGTCTTTTCTTTTAATCGGGTAAGACTTGTTGAGTACCCTCAAGTACTCAGGGTTTATTGACCCCTATTGTAGGTTCTGACCTATGCTGGTAATCGAGGTTATGTTAGTGGGCTCGACATGATCTGGTCGTCTCTCCTACCTTAGATGCTTCACCTAAGTTGCTTCCGTAGTCGTACTCATCTTTTGGAACTTAAGTTAAGTTTCTACTTGAACATGTTTTGTAATCTAATACTGTAAGTCTTCCGCACTCCGATGTAAGATATTTTTGTATCAACTGTTGTGATGTTGTGGTAACTCTATGTTGATCTTGTATGAGTTGTAAAATGTGGATAATTCGGTGTTTCCCGAGAACACCCGACAGACTACCGGAGTTATCTGGCTCTCGTGTGCAGCAGTCAGAGGTCTTTAGGACAATGACAGGTGCATGTGAGCCATATAATTTGGGTGGTTCTGCCATATATTATTTAGGATTCATCTTCGTGTTATCTTCCTATCTCCTATGTTTCTGTCATTGTTCACCTAAACGATCATTTAACTCACGTACTCAACGCTTAAATGCTACATGATGGTACACCATTTTCATTTAATCATCCATTTAACTCGTTTAAACGGTCATTTTTCTTATTTAAGTGACCATTTTGTCCGAAAAATGTCTAAACAACAAGTGACCGACTATTTGTCATTTAACATTTAGAATCTATGGTTAATAATTTTGCCCCTATTTAACTACTTCCTGTTATAAACTGTGACTCTTTTTCTGGCCAAATAATTAGATTCATCAGGAGTAGGTTAGAGACCTGAGGTTAATTAGTTCCATTCCCTTTATTTTTTTAGTTTTTAGCTATCTTTTGTATCGTAGCACAAATTAACATGTTGATTTGGTTGTTATGGCTCCGGCCCTGGGTGTGACATGTGAATAATATATGCCAAGGAGCGTGATATACCTCTGAAATTCACTTCTGTTCAGACACCAATTGACCCGGTATTTTACTCCTACTATATAGCCATATCTGAAAGTGGAATTAAGTAGAAAAAAAAATGAGTTGCAGCTCAGTTTTGGGCCAGAAAGCGTGAGCCCACCACATGGCCCTGAATGGCCAACTAGCTAGGCTCCAAGAACCCATTTAACTTCCTGAAAAGGGTCTAGATTAGCGTCGCCCCCCCCCCCCCCCCCCCTTTTTTTGGGTGAGAGGGAGCTTTCTTTATCTTCCTTTTTTGGAATGAATCGTTTCCTCTTAGACACAACGCTGCGAATGGAATTAAGCAGGTGTACGTTCTTTTCAACCAGTTATTTCTGAAACGAAATTATCCTACGTATCTTTGAGCAGTCAGCATGGGAGCGAGGAACTAAAATAAAGCAGCATCAGCCAATTTGATTATGTCCATCGTGCTTACAATGATACGTACTAGCTAGGTACGTATATATGCAAACCAGAGTTGACTCCGGACAATTAAAAATGACAAATAGATCCAAGCAACATAATCAGCTTAGTCTGAACAGGGCAGCCACAACTACTCCTTTTACTGCATTTTTCTAAAAGGCTTCCATGAAACACAACCGAAACATGTGGATAAACAAGCAGGGCATACACGCGAAGCGTTAGTTCGGCGAAGATAAAATCCATTTCCAGCTCATACGGCTCGTGTCCAGTGTCCATCCACTGGAACCACTTCGATCAGGCAACGCGAGTTAGGCGGCAGCCGACGGAACGTAACGATAGAAAATGGCGCTGCTAGAAACAAACCCATCATCGCGGTCACTTGCATTATTGATCTTGCCCGCTAGCTACAGGACCCTAATCAAACGATTCGGATAATAATCTCTTCCGGTGACGGCATGGGGTGACTTCTTCTAAGCCCAACTTGGGCACTCCGGAGAAGTGCGTGTGCGCTTCCGAGTTAGTCAAATGCTTGTGACGTGGCTACGCCAGATTTCTAACGCGTGCGTGCTGTGATCTGTTTGGACGCTTCAGACAGCGTACAGGGACAGCTGCCGCCGCCGCCGGCTCCGATAGTCCGTTGCCTGCCTTGCGTTGGATCCGGTGGGGGGCCGCCGGGCCGGGCTGCCGAGAGTCGCAAACTGCTCGCGCGCATGCACACGTTCTGCACCGGCGCAGCCGACTGGGGCGAGGAGTCGAGGAGTTGACCTGGGCGAGGTCGAGGCAACTAGGGAGGGGGAAGCCATCCCCACCAGGGACAGGGACCAGCCAGCGCGTCCCCACTGCAGCTGAACCATCGCCGTCGCCCGCTGCGGTTTCCACTTCCACGCCACTCGCACGCACGTATAAAAGCGTTTCAAACTTCGCCGCGCACCGCTGCCTCGCGTGCGTACCGGCAGGCACAGCACTCATCTCTTTCGCGAGTGGCGTGCCGCAGTTTTTTATTAACCGACGCGGCCGCGCGCACCAGCGCCGGCCACCGGCTAGTACGTACAGCCCAGCCCGCACCACTCCTTCACCTACTGCAGGCTGCGGAGCTCTCGCTTGCTTCCTTGGATCACTCGCTAGCAGCGTCGTGTGCCTATTTCTTGCTCGGGCCGGTCGGTTAGCCGCCCGAGGCTGATCTGTCCTCGCGCAGGCATTGACTTTTCCCAGGCGAGGCGCGCGCACGTCTGCCAGAGATGGACGCGGCAGGCGCGCCTATACCGGCGCCGTACGGCGGGCAGGGCACGGCGGCGTTCCCGATCGCCATCGTCATTGCGATCGGGTTCATGGTCACCTCGCTCATCCTCATCAGCTACTACTTCCTCGTGGTCCGCTGCTGGCTCCGCGGCGGGGGCCCCGGGTCCGGCCTGCTCCTCCACCGCGCGCGCCGCGACGACCGCCACCTGGTGGAGCGCGTCTCCGCGGTCTTCTTCACCGACCACGAGGCCGCCGAGCTCCCAGGCGGGCTCGACCCGGACGTCGTCGCCGCGCTCCCCGTCGTCAGGTACTACCGCCGCCGGGCGAGGGACGACTCCGCGTCCGAGTGCGCCGTGTGCCTGGGCGAGTTCGCGCCCGGGGAGCGGCTCAAGCAGCTGCCCACCTGCTCCCACGCCTTCCACATCGACTGCATCGACACCTGGCTCCACCACAACGTCAGCTGCCCGCTCTGCCGCACCGTCGTCACCGGCGGCGCCGTCCTCCCGCTCGCGCGCGACGACCACGACGCCTCCTGCCGCGACTTGCAGCCGCTCGGCGGCGATGCGCGGCGCATCGACGCCGCGGGGAGGGTCGGGTACGGGAGCTCCTGCAGGTTCCCGATCAAGACCGGCGCCGCCGCGCAGGAGCCCATCACGCGTTCCTTCTCCATGGACTGCTTCGCGGGCGGCCTCGGCCGGAAGCCGCACACCAAGGAGCTTGCTGCTGCAGGCAGCTCGGGGGAGGCCGGCCCGAGCCTTGCCGCCAGCGGCGGCAGCAGCAGCAGCAATAACGTCACTGACCGCGGCGCTGGCGAGACGAGCGGCCGGTTCCGGCGGCTTCTGTCGTCGTTCGGGCTCGGCCGGAGCTCGCGGAGCACAGTGCTGCCGATCCACCTCGACCCGTGACGGCGGCGGCTCCGGGTTCGTGCCGCTGATCGATCGATTAACCTGTTCCCGCACTTGCTCGCTTCATTGATGATTGATTGAGTCGTGTCGTGTGCATGTAATGTACAGCCATAGAGGAGAGACTTGGTTTGCTTTTACTGATTAGTTCTTGCATCAATCGCGTGTCCCTGTGCGCATTGTCCTCGTGTTCGTATGCTTGGTGGATCCGTGCTTGTTGGTGCACCAGATGTCGTCGGATGACATGTCAACTAGTGCAACATTGCCATTGCCATTGCCATTTCGTCATCCTTCCGTTCCTGATTGTTGACACTATCTCATCACGATTGTTGTAACATTGATTAAGCATTTAAGCCAGGATATTTGAAAGTAAACTGGGTAACTTTGCTAACGCCTGTCTTTCTGGTGTAGCTGTGTAAGCCCTTCGGCATGCACAATGTGCAGCTCCACCGCCACCCCCGGGCCGGCGGCGACATGCCGCCATCGCCACCTGCCGTGCCGTTCACCTGATCACATCTTCCATATGGCATCGCTTCCTGTACCCTATCCTTCTTCAAATTAGGACAGATGCTTGCCCCTACCACCACCACGCACGACTATCCCTCTATGCGGCCTGGCCCCTTCTTCTCCAACCTTAGTGCCACCCAACCCAGGCCCTAAAGTTCTAACTAAGCACCACAACACCATGGTTCAAGAGAGGGACTAGGAGGAAGATCGAACGCTAGTCCCAGCTGCTAACCATCTTGGCTCTCGGTCAACATGATAGCAGATCTGTTGTCAGCAAGGGAATCAAAGAGACATGGTCAAGAGTATGATGAAGGGAAACACAGGTGTGTCTGGCTACAATTTTATCGGAGATCAACATAGAGCGGATGTTTACTACACGTACAACGGTGCCGTGGGACTATGCTATCCGCAGCCCTAACGCACGCGGCGAAGTAAGCATGCATTCCCCAAAATTGTTTGACATACTACAATAGGTGTGCTTGCTACTTTTATGAAGCAAAAACTTTTTTTTTTTGGCTTTTTTTAGGCCAAAAAAAATGACAGGGCTGACTGACATGTTTCCGTCATGCTGACATAAGCACGATTTATGGAGGAACCTTTATTCTGTTGCTGCTTAATTTGTCGTCCTTGACACAAATGTTTGTGTGTCCTTGGCTTTTAAATTACGCGTGGACGGTGACGATGATAAGATCAAGCGGGGCCATGCAGGGACCCTCCACTTGCTTACCACATTGGCTGCATTGCAAGGCCCCAAGTCAACATCATGAGTTAGGTTTATGTAACCCACACATCACCAGATTTGCAGCCATCAAACCAATTAACTTAATTAAGTGTAGTGCACCGTCATGGCAAGCCACCATCTGGCGAGCAACACCGTGTTTGGTTAACCGAAACCCTTTTCTTGACCAGCAGCACAAGTAGTATATTTGGTTTTGAGAACCAGCAGAAGTATTAGTATATGATATGAGCCATAATGATGAGATGAAATACCTGAAGGGAAATAAATAATAAATAATTTTGTGACCCGTGAACGTTCCTCCACACAGAGCGAGAGCGATATAATGAGTCGCAGGGTTGACCAATCGACGGTGGCACGGTGGCCAACTTGCGTAGCCGGACGGTGATAGTGTAAAGAAATGGAGGCTGCGCTCTGCGCAAACAAACAAGCAAGAGGGCGCGGAAACGGCCGGATTACGATTAGTTCTACCTGGCCTAGGTGCATCGTTCCATGTGGATCTCCACTTGGTTAGCAGCGCGTCACGGGGGTTGACTTGCGTCTGGCAGCAAGCAGGCCTTCCTCCGCGGCGACGAATAATACGCTCACATGAACGACTGATGGAAGAGAATCTGCCTTGTAATTCTGCATGGGACAATTCGTGAGGAAGCTAGCATGCGTTTCTCTGGAAGTCTGGATCGTTGACTTCCTCAAGGCAGAGTGGGCAGCTGGTCGATCGACAGGAACGAATGCGCCAGAGGGCATTGTCCGCGCTACAGAGTAGTTCAGTGCCAACGGTTTGGTGCTGTCTATACACTCCAGCAGTCCAGCTCGTGTTCAAACTGAAAGGAACACCGAAGTTCACAGTAGGATAAAATTTTGGATTGATATACCAGATTTAGCGATGTGAGGATCTTTTGTCTCTAATGAGGCAAAAAAGCAATGCAATTTTCAGGCTTGCCCTCTTTTTCTTCTTGCCTGTATTTTTCTCCCAAGGTTCAAAGGAAACTAGCTCTGTCGGAATATTGAAAAACATAGGACCAGGCATGTCGTCTACAGTACAATCCTAGTTCTGCCGCCAGAAGTCAGAAGGGGCGCGCGTACGAGTACGACGTCCCTGTCCGGCCGACTAGCCGTGATTTGCTTGGGAGCTAGCGCGCGGTCCTGCAACTTGCAGCTGCACCATCGTGCTCGCGCCAACCAGTCACCAGTCACCATCGTGCTCGCGCCGCCGGGGTCGAGGTCACGCTCTTTCAAGTTTCAACGCAAGAGAGCGAGCTTACGCCGGTCCGGCGCACCGCATTCGTTGACGGAGAAGGCGGCCCGACTTGAGTTCGCCGTCGTCCGCGCCGCGCGCGTGCCGCGGACTCGCCATTGGCCAAGGCTGTGTGTGGTACCTGCGGAGGCGCGGACGGGCGCGACACTGCTCGGACGTTATTGATGGGCCTATAGACCAACAGAACTGGGCGCACATCCGATGCCCGCTCGGTCCATCCCAAATTCTGTTGGGCCTCTAATCTTGCCTGATATGCTTTCGCTGCTGCACGGAGCGGAGGCCAGGAGGAGAAAACCATCAGAACTGCCCGCGTAGTTGCGTGCCAGTGCCACAGCGGCACAGCACCTGGGGCACTGGGCAGGGCGCGCGTCACGTCCCATCCGCGACATCCACTGCTGTTACATGCTCCCGGCACCGCACCGACTGGAGTAGTCACCAACCGCACCGCAGGGTCAAATCGCCGGCCTTCTCCGGCGCGGTGCGGACTCCGCTCCGGAGGGAGGCCCGAGCCGAGCAGGCCGCGCTCCTGTTGGGGCACTGTTGGGCTGTCGCGGCGATCCACGGCCGGCGCCGGACACAGCCGCATGGACGGGTGGCCCGCCCGCTGCGCCTTTTTCTTTCCTTTCCTTTTAACCGCCCCCAACGAGTCGACGACGACCAACGAAACGAGGCGGCAACCGCCACAGCGCACAGACCCACAGTGCAGGCGCTGTGCGGGGGGACGGGACCGAGGGGCAAGGACGTGAGATGGACGGCGAGACACGGTGCCCGAACACAACAGAACAGGCCCCGGGGAGGGGCTACAAGTAGGAACTACTCTAGGAAAGAGCCTTGCTAGTTTTGTTGTCGCTAGTTGCTGCTGCCTGCCTCCTGCTGCCGCCGCGCGCTGAGGGGCGGGGGACAATGATTTTGGCCTCTGTTGTTCACTTCTCCCGTGCCGTCTCCTCGGCCGCATGGCATGGGCTGATGGGCAGTACCAAGTGATGCACTGCTCATGTCCGATCGGTGATCAGGACCGTCTCACGCTGTCACCCGTGTCAGCATCAGCAGCATACTTATATAATACTCCGTTCGTTTACAAAAGAATGTAATTCTTGTTTTTCAAGAAATCAAGCAATTTGAACTTTGACTGAATTTATATAAAAAAAATTACTAGTATTTTTTATACAAAATAAGTACCATTAAATTAATTATAGAATATATTTTCATAACAAATTTACTTGGGACATAAATGCTACTAATATTTATTATAAACTTGATCAAACTTAACAATTGTATTCTTTCACGGACTGAGGGAAGAGAGAGTTGGCGATGCGGCGGCAGTATGTACAGGAGTATCTCGTCTGTCTTTCTCTGCTGACAGGAAAGGAGCGTCGCACTCATTTTGGGGGCGGGGCGCACGGCACGTACGCACGGTCTCTTTTTTCGTGTAGTAAGTAAGTATGGCCTACGGGAGAAAAGGAAGCACGAGCACTTGAAGAAACGGAGAGCAAAAGAAAGAAACTGCACGGACGCCCAACCCTGCCTGTACGTCGAGGTTAGGAGCAGGACTGCACACCGAACCTTCGCCGTTTCGAGGTTAGGAGCAGGACTGCACAACTCCTGCACGGCGTGCATGCTATGACAATTGGCAGGCGTGCGCTCCACAAGGGAGGCAAAGGCACGTCTTTTCGCCGTCGACAACTGCCCTGCGACTCCGAGGCCGCTGCTGCAGTAGCACACACGTCAATGCCCCCAATGACTCGCCAAGTCACCGCCTCGTAAAGTACTGTATGTCTAATTGTCTATCACTATCAGTCACCTGTTTTCACCTAGATTGTGGTTTGGGATCACATAAGGCTTGAGCTCACTCACGTCGTCGGATGGCGAACGGATGGTCAGGATCTCGATCGGTAGCTTATCCAGCACTCAACCCCCACAAACACACCTCAAATCAGGCATAACCACCGACCGGTTAGGCAGTGCACAAGTCTGAACTGAAGCCACAAATAGACGAGAGAGAGAGAAGAAGTTGGCTGGCCATGGCGTCCCTTCTTATCCTGCGATGATATGCGGACTTGTTTGGCCGGGCTCTCGGCAGCTCCGGCTCCGGCTGACACCCCTACAACGAACACTGTAGCATCGAAGCTGTTTTTCTCTTCCCACCTTTTCCTCTCACTGTAGCGTGGTACTGTTCACGGAGCCAGTGAAGCTCGAATTTCTGCTCCTCCGGCTCCGGTTCTGACACGCTACAGTACATGAACAGTGTAGAGCCGAAGCATCTCGGAGCCGTACCAAACAGGTTCACGCAGCCCTGCCAGGAGCTCGCTCACATTGCCTCTCGGCATCAGCTGCACTGCTCACGCAGTGACGCACAAGCTGGGTCGCCTGGTATGATAGTGGTGGCCGCCATCCGTTGGTTGTCACTGCTACGTCGCCGCTCTACGCCTCTCTCACAAGCTTTGCTTTCTCTCTCCAGGCCGTACGCTTCTCTGCCCTCAACTGTTCCGGGGGCTAGTAGCCTTGATATCTTGGCCGGGACCGGGAGGGTGCTAGCTAGAAATGGATCCTCCGCCACCACCGTTCGCCTCCAGCAGCTCGCCCTCGCCGCCGTCGTCCTCGTCCAGCGCGAGCATCACCATGGTGATCATCACCGTCGTTGGCATCCTCGCGGCGTTCGCGCTCCTCGCCAGCTACTACGCGTTCGTGACCAAGTGCCAGCTGCTGCGCGCGGTGTGGTCGCGCCACCCGCCGTGGCACCGGCGCGCGCGGAGGGCCGGCATCGGCGGCAGCCGGGACGATCCGTCGTTCGTCGCAGGCCGCGCCTCAGAGACCGAGGACGGCAGGCGGGGCCTGGGCCTGCCGCTCATCCGCATGCTCCCCGTCGTCAAGTTCACGGCCGCGGCCTGCGACACCGACGCCTGCGGCGGCGTGGCGCCGAGGATATCCGTGTCGGAGTGCGCCGTGTGCCTGAGCGAGTTTGTGGAGCGGGAGCGCGTCCGGCTGCTGCCCAACTGCTCCCACGCCTTCCACATCGACTGCATCGACACGTGGCTGCAGGGCAGCGCGCGCTGCCCCTTCTGCCGCAGCGACGTCACGCTGCCGGCGCTCCCGTCGGCACGCCGCGCCCTGTCGGCGGCGGCGGCGGCCCTCCCAAGGCGCCGCGACGACGCGCTCGCCAGCGACAGCATTGTGATCGAGGTACGAGGGGAGCACGAGAGATGGTTCAGCAGCCACGGGACGACGACGACGACGACGGGCGATCGTCCGGCCGCCGGCGGCGGCGGCGGCAGCGGAAGAGGGCTCCGGCACCCGAAGCAGTCGCCGCGGCGCAACAAGGCGGAGAGCGTCGGCGACGAGGCCATCGACACGAGGAAGACGACGGACGCGGAGTTCGCGGCGGTGCAGCCCTTGCGGCGGTCCGTCTCCCTGGACTCCTCCTGCGGCAAGCACCTCTACGTGTCCATCCAGGAGCTCCTCGCCACGCAAAGGCAAGTGCGCGAGCGCGATCCGTCCGTGCATTCATGATCCGCGGATGCCATGCCATGCCATGGCCGTGCAGTCAGAACACCCTGCTGGCTGCTACCTGATAGTAGCACTGTATATGGCTGTGGACTGTGGTCAATTCTTTTTTTATTATTATTATTTTTCACTACTACTAGTACTGGGCGCTACTCCCTCCGTCCAGACGCGCGCGAGTGGCTTTTTGTGCCCGGTGATGAGTAACGTAACGACATCCTGCTCTGCTGCGCTGTGCGTCCCATGGTTGCGATCGCGGGTCTCTTTCTTGCTTGTTTTCTGGTTCCTGGGGACAGGTTTAGGTCTCTTTCTGACGGATCATGCACGCAGTCTTGGTTGGCTGGCTGAAGGGAGTTTCAGCATTTTTTTTTACCCCTCCACAGGGCCGGGGTTTATTTTTTGAGCAAATTTTGGCAGGGATTCTGCCGTTTCATTATAGTAGAGAGCAGCATTTCAACAATATACAAGGTGGGAATCCGTTACTGGTGGAAATCCGTTTTTCTAACCGTCTTCATGATGGCATTGTTGGCCGTCCAGGGCGGACGACGGCGACGTCGGTCGGCCGTGAGCCCGGCCGGCCGGCCGCCAGCCAGCTCTCCGCATCATTCCAGGACGGACGCCCACAGGTACATACAAGATGAAGCGGCGATTTGTTTTTCTCACCAGATCAGCCAGCCATCAACAACACTGGCGTTTGGTGACCCAACCCCCAAGCCCAGGCAGCAGCTAAGCCGCGGATTGGACATTTCCGGGGCGAAAAAGGTCGCTCGCTGCGTGCCGAGAGCTTACGACGCGCTGGGGCCTGGCCTAGATCGGGGGTCGTAGCCGTAGGCCAGCGCGGCGAGCATGCGGGTGTCGCGCGCGCGGCAGCCCCTGGGCTCGTGTACCGTGTGCGCGCGCGCGCGCGAGTGCCCACGCACGGCACGGCCGACTGCTGGGGTGCGGGGGCGGGGGCCGGGGCGCGCGCCACCGGGCACCGGCCATGTGCGTGCTTCGCTTTGCGGGTACGTACGCCGATATGGACGTGCCTTGAAGCTAAACCAGCTCGATCCATCCATCGATCGGGCGCCGCCGCCGCGCCCCGGTGCCTCCCGTGTTTTGCACTTTTGCGACGCTTTTCGTGTCCGCGTGCGCCAAGGCATGGCAGCTCGGCCGCCGGGACCGTACCGGAACCCTCCAGCATGGTCCCTGCATGCCGGGCCAGTGAATTTCGTGCATGGTGTGGGAGACATACCGAGAAGTCGTCTCATGTGATGCGTACGTACTACTACCAGACTACCAGTCTACCACTACTACGTCTCTACATGTCGCATTTCATCCTTCCTCCCATGTGACGCCTACCTTGCGAACGGCACGTTTGAAATGCTGTCGGATTTTTTCTAATTTCGCAGCGCGGATGCTTCGTCAGTAGCCGCGCCGGCCGCATATGTCAGCTCTCCCCTTGTGCGATGGAGCAGTTTCCTTGCCGAGGGTTAAATCTCCTTCGTTTTTGCAGACACTCGAGTTTTTTCTCGGAACTCAAGTGTAATGCACAGGTTGCCTTCTTCCTTGGAATCACCGATACACCACACGCCAAGCACCGATTCGAGCTACCTCCAGCTGTCTGTCCCGTCATTTTGCGTTTAAGGGTGTGTTTGGTAGGGATGATCCGCTAGGGACGACCCAGATTCTCTTAGAAACCATTTGGTCGGCTCGCTCGATTTTTTAAATTAAAACTAGAATCAGGAGAAACCAGATGAGAATCGGTTCCAAGTGACTCAGGAATCGCCAACATTACTCACTGCACTGCAGTGTCTGATTTATTGACCTGCCGCTAAGAAGTCATAATGTCAGGCTGTCAGGTAATATGTAACCCCAGGAATCGTCAAACATTCTGCACTACTGAGTCTCGGCTAGTCGGCCCGCCACTAAGATGTCCCTCATGTCAGTATATAACGGATAGTAAGTCAACGATAACGTGTCAGAACCTTCTTCTGACCCCAATGATGTCCCAAAAGTAGGCGTGTAGTGCGCTTGAAATCCGTCTATACGACGTTCCTCGCTTTCTTTGTTAAGCAGGCGAGCGAGTCGAGCGGAAAGTTTTTTTTTTTACACACAAGCGACGATACGAGGCAGGCAGGCAGGACGCACGGGGTCCTTTTGCTTCGTGGGTAGATTTGGTTAGCTGGCCCAATCATGAAGGGCCGGGCTAATGGAGGGTGGGGTGTCAACGTTGGTGCGTGCTTTCGGGTGCGGCGGCATCGATGGGTCACCGGCGATGTTCCGAGCCGGGGACCAGGGTCCAGGGGGGAACTAGCGAACCAACCCCAACCGGAATAATTGCGCGAATCGGCCGACAGCAGCGCTTCGCGCGACGCTGCACGGCAAAGGACTGATGGGGGCGCTCTGCACGTTTGGGTGCTTCCGCTTGCTGCTTCTTCGTCCGTCCGTCCGCCGGGACCCCTACCTAGTCTAATCCGCCGTGCATTGCGTCGCATCGAGCATCGCTGGTGACGGCTTGCATATGCATATGCTGCTACACGCCTGGCCGCCTAGCCATAGGCGTGCGTTCTAGGCTTCTAGCTCATCTTACTGCTGCTCCGGTGGAACTCAACGATGGCTCTGGAGCGTGGGTTTCCTTGGTTTGGGAACACTGCACTTTTGGAGTAACAACCGGACAGCACCTCTTTTGTGAAGAAACCTGTGTGGGTGGTGGGGCCGGGTGGGGTGAATAAACCTATTAGAAGGGTTTCTTTTGGATGTAAATAGAAGATTTGTGCCAAAATAAATCCTTATGATTCTACTCTGTATATTTCTACAGAACGCTCTGATTTTGGATTCAAAATCTCAAATCCCATTTATCCAAATATGACCCTGATATGATAAGTAAAATCAGCAACACGTACACCGGAAAGAAAGCCATGCTCTCCCAGATGCACCAAATACGCCATGCACGAACATGGCGACACCGTCACATGCAGAACAAGGCCATACGGATATGCAATTTTGTCCGCGACCACGACGCCCCCTCACAAGTCACAAGGCCACTAGATTTCCTGACAGTTGGGCAGCGACGAGAGGATCTTGGAGGTTGCCACTGGGCTGGGACATGTTCATAGCTGTCCTTCCTGTAGCTTATGCATGAGCTTACCAGAGGCTCTCAGCAACAGATTGTCGTTTGCTATCATGAAAACCCTTGCAGGTACACCTCATGAAAAGAGAGTAAGCCAATGGACGTGCATGTTATGGTCTCTTCGACTGTAGAATCTGCCTGCAAGGAAACAATATTGACCACTAGGGACGATTGCGGATTCAGCGTTGGCCGCTGCTGATATAGCTCTTGTGTCACCCTCGCTCAGATAGCACATGAGCACGGGGAGCTACACTGCTGTACTAATTGGTTGCGACTACAGTTTCACCAGTGACGTTTACTAGCAGACAAGCACCTGGATTGTGGATTGTACTCTACTCCACTTGCTGTTTACAGTAACATGGTAAGTGAAGGAGTTCACTAGTAGGTATCTGAAGGTTGCCAAACGATATTGTCGGTCATAGTTCTGAGATCTTGTAATAGACTTGGAATGTTCCACCCTGTTGAGATGATGATGATGATTGAGCCTTTACCCTGAAAATCAAGTAGAGTAACACTATTGTTGTAGCCCTTTCTTTTCTTGTGCACGACAGTCCTCTCTGTATCCCTACAGCTTTCAGTTTCATTATTACCAAATTAACAAGCCAAGGCCGGAAAATGGGGCTACCAACAGCACTGAAAGATGACGGACTGTACTGACAAGCGATGCAAAGGGGAGCAGAGGGGCTGCTTGATTTCCAAACACCAGCATATAGACGACCAGACAGATACATAACGACCTCACACTCCACTTAAGGGCCTGGGCCTGACAACGGCTGAACGGCAACTGTGTGACCATGGAAAGAGAACAACCATCAGTCAGTCGGGGCCTCGGGGGTGTCAGAAACAATCAAACAAATCTCTTACCCCAAAGCAGCAAAAGTAGTATACTTGACAAACCTCACAAGACTTGGTCCAAGGTAGCAGAAATAGGGTGGAGTGGTGGAGACATTCCTCTAGCAATGAGATAGCCAAGCCCATGCGTTATTAGTAATCCAGTAGCACAGCTGAGGAATGAAGGAAACTGTGTAGCCACTGAACCTGCACAAAAACAGTCAGGGTTGCCTATTGCGTACCCAGTTTCCTACTTTCCTCCACTGTGTGGTGGTGATATCCAATGCACATGTTAAGGAGGAAAAGTGGGGTAGCCATGTTAAGGAGGAATCACATCACATCCAATCATCCAATCCTCGCTATCCATCACCAAATGTTTGAGTTCATTGCACTCATATCCAAACCGGCAATCAATGTCAACTGAAGACAAACAGATGACAAAAATGTGTAGTTCTGCGTGCTGCCGATCTCTGAGGGCATGCAACTGTTGAGGCAACAAAATGATGGATGCAGTGAAAGAGCTGAGCAGCTTGCATCATAGGGGTACTGGAAGTTTAGAGAACATGACTGATGCAGTGATCTCTGGGGATGTCTGATGTTACTGAACAGTCAACCAGTGCTGCTGCAGCAGGCGCCATTAACTATCAGAGCAGCCATCTCTGATGCATACTCCTATGGAGGAGCTCAGGACAGCTGCATGCATGACCACAGCCTGCAGACTGATGAGCTCATGAACAGAAACTTACCATTGGGATTCCAGCCGGTAACACACTCTTCTGAATGCCTTTCGTCTGCCAGCCTCCATCACTTGGGCCAGACCTGCCTGCCAACATGTGTGACCATCGCCCAATGCTAACATTAACTTGCATCCAGCAAACCACAATAAGATTAACTGAGATCTATTAACGCTTGGGAGGAAATGCAGCAGTCGGCATTTTGGCTACTCCCTTCAGAGTAAGGTTTATGAGCTCTTTTCTCAATGTGATGCAGCACATCAGAGTGTTGCCGCCAAGATAACTAAATTGATGACAAACATAATCATGAAATGTAGCAGTGCAGAATGCAT